CAGTTGTAAGTAGGACAATTAACTGAAAAAGATTGGCTCCTCCTACTTGAGCTAATAGCATAGTATTTTTACAAAGGTGATTTTCCTTCCTTGTTTGACAAGATCTACTTTGGGGAAGGAAATTCTCTTTGTGCTGGGTAAAAATCATTCTGGTGTTACTGCAGTTACAGAATCACCAATTTGGAAATGACCTCAGAGGCCATAATCATGCAGCTTCCACATGACCAAAAAATCTTTTTTACAAAATTGCCAACAAGTGGTCAGTCAGTTCAGCCTCTACTTGAAAACCTCCAGTGAAGGGAAGCCCACTGCTTCCCAAAGCAATGCATTCCACTTTTGGACAGCTCCATTGCTAGCAAGTTTTTCCTTATCATCAAACCAAATTCTAACTCTCTACAACTTAAACCCAACTACCCCCAGGATATACTCACATAGCCAGCTTATTGCTCTGCTCTGCATTTAGTAGGTGTTTTATAAATATTTGTCTGTGATGACTTGAGAGCAGCTGTGTCATGCCTATAGCAGGAAACTGGAATCCAGAAGTGTGAACACTTGCATTAGAAATAAAAAGGTTCTGGTTTTATTGGAAGGGCAGCTGAATTTGAAGTCTTCTGTAAAGCTGAAGAACTAGAAATCCCTTCTGCCATCTCTTTTCAAAGGGAGAAAAAGAATGAAATGGGATTCTGAAAAATAAAATGCAGTTATGGCAATAGTACCAAAGCAACACCATCTCATTATTGTAAATTGTCCTATGCCTCCATAAGGCATAATTAGAGTTTTCTCAACACAAGTCTTATAATGGCATAAATATTTATTCAGGTGTTGTAGTTCACCAGAAAAACAGGTGGCAGATCCACAGTGAAATCCACATGCCACATTTAAAGTGCATTTACACAGAAGCCAGGTGCAAGGGAGCTTGACAGTTACTTCAGGATAGGCATAGAAGTGTTGGATTGAATAATTCTCAGCCCAGACGCTCCCTTGATCCCATCCCTTCACTCATTCTCTTCCCTTAAACCCACCTGATTACTATCCAGACGTAATAAGCTCGAAACAGAGTTGGTCTTGGGAAAATATCAAGGCACGCTTGGGTATGTGGCTTAGCTTCATTTGCATAGGATTCCAGTGGAGGCAAGGAAAGTTTAGACCCAGGAAACAGCTCTCCATTACTCCCCCAGGGGCCATTTAAAGGAAAACAGTAGACTCTATTCCCATTGACCTTCCTTCCCTCCCCTTCTATTAGAGGACATTTCTAAGGGAGGAAATACTAAAACATCCTTTCTTACCAAAGGTTTTGCATCCATAAAGGGGACTTTGTTTAGCAGCTGATTTCTTGACCAGAGAATTTTTAAAAGACTTTTCTTAGCAATAAAATAAATATAACTGACCAATGATCATCTGTGATGTGTGAGCAGGAACTTCATTCGTACAGCATATCTCCTGCTCATAAACGTTTTTTCTTTGTACTATATAGCATTAAAAATAAATTAGGTCCCTTATTCAGTATAATTTCCTGTATAAACCATTGAAGATCCACAATGACAAGATAGAATTTACAAGGGAAGAACATCGCTTTTAGGTATCCTAGCTTCTAGAGGCTAGAGAAAGATAAGTTTAGGAAGTTTGTTTCCTCAAGACACCACAATCACCCAGAGTCATGGGCCCCTACTTTGAGGGTAAGCTTAAGTTTAAAGAATTTCTCCACTGTCATGGGAATAGCTTGAAAAATTATTCCTTTGAAATAAGATTCGAAACAAAAACAAGAGATGGATAGTTTTCTTAACTACTTTATTCATGTTCCTGGAGCATTAGCCCATCAGAAATTTGGGCAGCATTCAGATTTTTTTATATCTAATCAGTACTTTAAAAAAAAAAAGGCTAAATTTTAAAAGTACAGTATTTTACTAAACTCCAGTTAATTTTGTCCTTTTATTTGCACTCATTGGGGGAAGGGGGAATGAAGGGAGAGTATTTACCATTTTATCTCCTACATCGTTGGTGATTTTCAGTTGCTAAATTTGAAACTGGTTCTATGAACGTAAGAAGATTGGAAACATTTCAGAATGTAAAACTCCACAGGGATGGGAATTAAGGACCAGACCCAAAAGACCAAGCCATGTGACCTGTGGAAGGATTAGGCATTCCCTGTCCCTGGTAGAGTTCACCAATAGTAAAAAGAGGTTCTGAAGGCCTTGGAGACCAGATCCCTCACCTATAAGAATGAAGGAAACTCCCAACCAAAACCATTCAATTGCAGGCCTTCTGTCCCATCTTCGACTGTATTATCTGTGTCCTAAGAGGTATCTTTGAGGATGGTGCTTATCACTCTCACCTTCCCCAGTCCTACCCCCAGAATATTCAGGTATCTTGATCTCAGAATTATTTAACCTTTCTCCAAATCCTCCCCCCACCAGAAAAAAAAAAGAAAGAAAGAAAGAAAGACACACAGGGAAGCTGGAGAACGTTGCTTAAGTTTTCCTGGTTCCTCTTAGCGTGGCTAAGTACAGTCATTAATTATGTTGTTGCTAGACTGACTGACTGACTCACTCTCCTGGTCTCTTCCTCATTCCTTCTAACTCTGATCTCTCCTGGAGAATGAGACTAGAGAAAGGGTAGGGTCAGTCATACCTTATTCACACTAGTGTAAGTGGGTGTAGGAACTGGGGAATTGGGTTAGGGGAGCTGGCATGGTCAGGGAGAGGGAAAATCTGCTTAGTCCCACAGGACTGAGCTGAAAAAGAAGGGATATTTAGGAACCGGTGAGGCAAGAAAGACCGTGCTGGCGTCTCGCCTTGGTCAAGGGAGTTAAAGAGACTGAGCCAGATTCAGCTATAGCCCTTTGCAAGAGTTTTGATAAAAGTTCAGGGCAGTGGATAGAGCCAGAAAGAAATGTAACTTCTGTCCAGAACTAACTACTTTAAATCAGTATTTTTCCCTAAGATTAAAATAAAAGTCAAAAGTATTAGGTTAAGTCAAAGTTAGAGGAGTAAAGAACAATGTCAGCTGCATCTGTGGCCATCTGCACTGTTCTGCATACAGAAAAATCTTAAGACATTGTTAACTGAGTTGCATCCCAAGTTTAGGGTACGCTGGACCTCTTGACATTTCCAGTTTAAGCAGCAGGACTTCTACAGGTCCCTAAATGTAGGACACAAAAGCCAAGGACTTGGCTCTTAGGTTGCTGCCATCTTCCCAGCCCTGTCCTAGCAGAATCATCAAGATTTGGGGGACAAAAGACCCAGGTGAAATTCTGGACCCCCTGTTGTACGGTGGTAGTGGGGGGACAAGGGAGCATGCATAATACCTGCTATTTCCTCCCCTACAATGAGAATGAGGTTTCCTCCTTTTTTTAGCAACTTGTTCTGGTGCAGTACAATCAGTGTAGCTGTCTTGGAGAGAGACTTAAGTATGGGGAAGAGAAAGAACCCAGGGCATGAGCTAAATAGGAAGATTCCACCAGAATAAACCCTAAAAGGAAGTTGGGAGGGTGCCAGTCAGCTAACGTTGGGACCTACAAGAAAGAGATTAAAAGGGAAATAAAACTCAGTTTTGTCTATAGTGCTCTTATCTGACCACTTTTAATGCCCCATTATTTATATACATAGATATAGATATATATATAGATATATTATATATATCTATATATCTATATATCATCTATATATATGTGGGTGGCGTATATATATTATATATTTTATATATATATATATATATATATACACACACACACACATACATGTACTGATGAAAGGGAAAGGAAATAAAGTTTGGGCCCCTTCCCTCTTTCCTTCTTCCTTCCCCCAGACTCCAAGGTCAAAGAAGGTCTTTTTCCCCCTTCCAGTTGGACGTAAGGACAAGCCAACAAAAAAGGTTGGCCATCTATTTTCTATGCCTGCCTCTCCCTTCTAAGAACTCACTCTTATCACTTCCTACCTAGACTCTAGAGACAGAGCACTGAGCTAGCTATACTCACAGAACCGGAAAGTGAGATACTTGCATATCTTCACTTCTAGCAGAGGACTGAGCATCGGGAGGCCTGGATTCTCTACCCTGTTCCACATCTCTAATGGCAGGAACAGCTTTCTCAGGCTGGACTTTCCCCTATATCACAGTGGAGCTGCTTTGGCAAGTCTTGAAAGTCACTTAGATCTATGCCAGATCAAATTGCAAGGTTGCTAATACAAAGCTTAAGGCATGGACGGGGAGGTGGGGACAACAAGAGAAGGAAAGGAAAAACAAAGGGAATAGGTTCGTAGAAAGGGAGAAAAGGGAAATGTATTTTATAGGAGGCACTTTTAACAGTTAGTTGCCTCCGATACTGCTCAGTGGTGCCAAAGCCATAGATTATCCATCCAGTGGAACAGGGTAGTCTTCATCCAAAGCTAAATTATGGGGAGGCTGATCTCTTTTTAGTGGCAGGCCACAACCAAGAATCTCAGTTTTAAGATCCACAGTGGGATGAGTAGAAGAGGAATTCTTGGGAATTTATTTCAAGGGTAGCCTGGGAGGTTGAACAGGGTGGTATGAAAGAAAGGGAGAATGGGAGGGGAAAACTGCCTCTTTGGTGGAGTTTATTTTAACAGCTGGAAACCAGGTTTAAGACATCAGCTCTTTATTGCTTTTCATTTTACAGAGGAGCAGGGAGATGTCATCTCACCGGCTGCATGCAGCCCTCCAGGGGGCCCGCTGCTGTCCCCAGCGCCTCCGCCGCACCACGTACTGAGGCGGCCTGCACCTGGCCTCCTCTCCCAGGCGGGGCTCCATCAGCCATGCAGGGCCCCAAGCAGTCCACCAGCCAGGAGGGCAGGTGGGTGTGTGTCAACCTAGGGCACCACTGCAGGAAGGTTGGTGGGGTTGGCCTGGAGGGTTGGGGAGGGCCTATTCTAAGTGAGCTGGGGAGACTGGGAGGCTGGAGGAGGCCACCATCAAGGAACAGGGGCCAAAATGAGGTGAATTTCACAGTCAACCAGAGGGAGACAGGAATGGAAGGCAGTAGAAAGTTTGTTGTTGTTGTATTTGTTTATACATAGGGAACAAAAACACACATTGTGACTCAAACGATACCCTAAGTGGCCCTGATGCCCCATTCGGTTCTATAAACTATGTGAAAGATGCACAGCTTCCTAGAATGACCAGAAAGTGGAAGTCCTCAACCTAACCCCCAAATATGCATATATGATGGCCCACAGCCTCTGTTCCAGTTAATACTGTTTCTGCATCTTCTTGATGCCACATATGAATGAACTCTGTCACCTATGCAATTCACCATAAAAGTGCCACTTTAAAAGTTGACCCATGTAGACAAGAAAACAAAACCATTTGGGAGAAATAATCATTTCCTTAACAAAAGTAATCTGTAAAAAAGGATATTTAGGTTGAGCCAAGTAATGCCATATGTCTCCCAAATTAAGAGAGTCTATGAATGTCCCAGAAAAGGACTGAGTTCCTGAGGCTCTTTCAATCCCACACTGAACGTTAATCTCAAACGCTCCAAATGTCAAGACCCCTTGGTCTTGACACAAAACATTGAGAAGACTTACATGGTAGCAACACCACAAATGAAAAAAGAAAGCCACAATTGAGCAACATTAGCGATAAACTTAGGAACAGCCCCCTCCCCCATGTACCCACCCTTTCCTAACTCCCCCTCCCCAAACCCTGATTAAAATAATTTTTTCTTTGAAGTGTGAGTTTCTAGGTACTTCAGCACAGTGATGGGTAGCAGAACTGCTAAACTGGATCGACACAGGCTAGTTCCCTGGCATAAAAATGTTGTAACCATGCGACTTGGCTTCACCACAGATCTGATTTGGAATGAGATGTTCCCAACCCAGTCATCTCCTCCTTCCCCCCTCCCCCACCTTTCCACCTCCCCACCCCGCAAAAAACGACCATGCAATGATCCGCTGACCGGGCAACCAGAGTCAAGCCGATGGCCCCGCCCTAAGCTAGTCCTATTTCTAAAATAAATAAGAGTGTTGAAATTCTTTGTACCTTTTCCCTCAACCCTCTCCCTCCCTGGGCTCCCGTTCAGACAGAAGTCTCAGGGCTGGTCACAATCTCCCCGTTTTTCTCAGGTTCTGCTTTCAAGAAGCACTCCACATCAACAGAGTCCATTCTAGCTTCCTCAGGAGACTTGTCTTCCAGTTGGCAGAGCTCCTCCCTCTCCACAACCTCCTTTTTGGTCTGAGGTTCTTCTGGTTTTTTCTTAATACAGAAGACATTGCCCAGAGCCAGCACCAGGGCAGCGGTGACCACTTCAGCTCCCGCCAAGATAAACACGTACTTGTAGACGTGAGTCGCATCCAGGAGTTTGCCTGAAAAAGGTCAAGAGTCATACCTCAGGACTAGGGGACCCTGCTTCATGCAAGATGAAAGATTGTTAACACGTAGGCCGCAAACCTGATGAAAAATAACCTGGAACGAGTTTTCCCACTAAAATCTATCGATTGTGCCTAGTTAGTGCCTGTTTCTGACATTTGTGAGGATTCTCAGAAACAGTGTATGGACACCCCTATCCCCCACCCCCACCCCCACTCCTGAGTCAGTATTTGTAATTTTAGGCTCCTTTTTTGTATTTGGATTTTTTTTTAATCTTTTGAGCTAGTCTTTATTGACTCCACACTGAAGGCTCCGAGACTAAGAGTGAGCACCAGTGGCTGGTGATTCTCTTCCACCAACTGCCATGTATGCAAATCCTTTTTTCTTTCTTTCCTTTCTTTGTGCCTCTTGCCTTTCCTCCTTTCTTTTAACCTCAGTAAACATATGGAACTTGTTCATCTAAGTGATGACACAGGATAAAAATTGTTAATAGGTTCAAGAACTGTTTAAATAAATTCATGAATTTATTCTGCATAATACATAATTAAAGACAGTTAGGACATCCCTAACCTTTTAAGGCAAATATCAGGAAGAACCATTATGCTCTCACCTAACGTATCCGTATGGTGCCAAATACCAGAGATAGGACAGTGGAATCATTGCTCTGTCCCATTATGACATTTCTTAGGATCAAAATCTTAGCTCTGTATTAGCACTGATGAGTATTGCTTAACTCCAGTAGAAACACTTGGTTGCGTATCTTTGTCTCAGATGGTATCAGAAGGAGTCACCAGAAAGTTATGGAAGGCTAGCTTGCTTTGGTGCTCTGTGCACAGATACCCAAAAACCTAATTCAATACCCTGTTAGTGTCAAAACCAACTTCTTCTGAGGCCAGATAGTTTCCCTATCCCACTCCCCACACACCTCAGGCCCAATGTCCTGTGCCATCACCCAGGTGCCTTTAGCCAGTAAACATTTATTAACCACCCACTATGTACCTGGCACTGTGCTAAATGTTAGGGATACAAAAGGGGGCAAAAGACAGTGCCTGACGGGGCAGCTAGGTGGCACAGTGGATAGAGCACCAGCCCTGGATTCAGGAGGACCTAAGTCCAAATCCGGCCTCAGACACATAACACTTACTAGCTGTGTGACCCTGGGCAAGTCACTTAACCCCATTGCCTAGCCAAAAAAGAAAAAAAGACAGTGCCTGCCCTCAAGGAGCTCACCGATATAATCAGCCATTACGGAAGGCATCCCTCCCCATGTGCCTCTAGGTTCTGAATTTTAAAATAGACTTGTCAGCTTGACTCTTCATTCTTACGTCACTCTCTACTGTTTCCCTTCAAATAAAAATTAGGAGGAGCAAATATGAGGCTCTAGGTAATTTCTTTTTTTCTCTTTTATAAAATCAAGATAGAGTGTGGACAGAGAATATACATATATTATAATATATGTAAGATTTCTTCAGTTAATTTACCTAAAGGGGACCTAATGATGATTTAGAGGTCTAGAATTATAAAGGTTGAAGTCATCTAGACCAGCCATCCCTCCAGTGCAGGAACACCTTTTGATACCATTTCCAAAAAATGGCAGTCCTATCTCTGTTTGAACACCTCCAATAGCAAGGAATTATTTCATTTAAAAATGTTCACTATAGAAAATTAAACATGAAGATTCTTGAGCACTGATAAAAATGAGTCAGCCAAGGTTGCATAACAAAGACAAAGATCAGAATTTGAGTCTGGTTCCCTACTTCCAGGATCAGGCTTCTTCTGATCCAAACTACTTTAAATTCTCATTTTAAAGTTATCTTTCCAACTGATTTTTTTAAGCAACAGTAGTCAAGATGTGTTCTCTCCACTCTGCCATTCTCCCACCATACTTTACTATTAAGAAAGTTTGCTTCTTTAGTCAATCTCAACTCTTTAAAGTGTATCTTTTTCCCTGTGAAAGGGAAAATGAAAAACAAGAAGGTTCCCTCCCCCCACTCCATTCCATTATCTTATAGTGGCACTAAGCAATGTTAAAAGTCATTGGAAACTGATGGGAACAGAATCTATCAGTTATGTAAATAATTATTTTTGTTCCTCTTTGGGTAAATCCTAATTACTTGCTTTCTTGAAAGGAACTGAAGAATGAGTTTTAACCACTTGGAATTCTACTCTCTGCAGTTTCTGCTGCCAGTCAGGGGCACTGAGGTACCTGATTGATGTCAGAAGGTTATATCTTATATTACCTTCACAGGTGTAAATCTTCTAGTTCCTGGACTCACCACCTGAGGCCCCTCCCCTCCCTGAACAAAGCTGGGCTCAGGCCTCAGACACCAAAGGACAAGCTAATTTTCTTTGGTTTGGAAATTGGAAACAGATAGGTTGGAAGTGAAAAGTGGACTTGTGTTTGGGTAGTAATTCGACACTGAAGACAGCCTGATGTAGTGGAAAGTGAACAGGCCCAGGAATCAGGAAACCTAACTAACTGTGGGACCCTGAGAAAAATCATTTAACTCCTCTGAGTTTCATCATCTCTGTAAAGTGAAGGAGTTGCATCAGGTAATTGCTACGTAAAAATCTGTTAGTCCCCTACCATTAACTTAGATTTGAGAAGAGGGGACAATAGTGCTGCATTGGTAGCTACAAAATATTAAAAGAACCAGAGGCAGGCCTTCCAGCATATTGGATAGAACCACTCTGTGGAAAGACATCGACAAGAATTATAAGGGTTAGGAAAATAACAAGAGGTCAAGATCTGCATAGATGAAGGGAGTTCCCTACACTAATGAGATCATGAATCCATGGAGGTATACCCCACCACTACTACCACATTCCTTTCCCCAGAAGTAGAGACAAGGTGGGAGGATGTTGTGGACATACACTTTAGTTACCAACCCTGGTCCTATGGATTAATATGCCCAGTAGGAGGTGAATTCTTCTCCCTTCCTGGAAACATAGCCCAAAATGATAGTGATATGTAATTTCCTAATGAAAGCCCCATAAGGGGCTGGCCTATGCTTTCCCAACTGGGCAAGAGACTGGCTTCATTCATTAAGGAAAAAAACTTAGGTAACAATGACTAGTATTTTTGTGAGCATCTCATAAAGATGATTGGAGTCTTCAACTTCCTGCCAGATGCCCTATGACCTATATCCTACATTACTGTGAAGCTCAGTCATTTCTGAAAAGGAGAATGATTAATTATATTAATGACATTAATATAAGAATGAGAAAAGACACTCACCTCCAGAAGGGGGTCCAATTAACACAGCAATTGCCTCCATTAGTAGTACAAGGCCAATGGCGCTGGAGAACTTTTGGGTGCCAACGATGGCCATGAGCACTTCAAACTGCAAGGCTCCTACCATGCCATAGGATATGCCAAAAAAGATACAGAAGACCACTAGGCCAGTGTAAGATTCTGACATGGAGCCTATGAGATCAGTGAAGCCATTGAAGAACATGGCAAAACTGAAGAGGTAGACACAGCGGGGTCTGACCCACTTGGTTCCAGCCACAAATCCACAGATGGGCCGGGCGAAAATGTCAATGAAGCCAAGAATGGTCAGCAGGAAGGCAGCCTTGGTGTCATACACTCCCATATCCTTGGCATAGCTTACCACAAAAACAGGAGGTACAAAGAGCCCTAGTACCAAAATAGAAGCTGCGACAGTATAGACCAGAAAACCACGGTCCTTGAAAACACTGAAATCCAGAAGCTTCTTTGCCTTCTTCTTTGATGCTACCTCAGATCCTTCAAGCTTCTTAGGACCATCCAGAGGCCTCATCAGGGCCCCACATACACAACAGTTCAGCAGCATAGCCCCCAGAATGAGGAAGCCCCCTCGCCATCCATAAAGGTCCTGTAAGATCTGTCCCAGTGGAGAGAGTGCACAGAGGAACACAGGACTACCTGCAGCTGAGAGACCATTGGCTATGGGGCGCCTCTTGTCAAAGTAGCGGTTGAGCATGATGAGGGAAGGCTGGAAGTTGAGTGCCAAGCCTAGGCCTTAAAAAGAAGAACAAGAACAGGCTTAGAACCCAGATGGCCGGTCCAGCTAATCCCTTCCAGAGGTGCCCCACCTCACTAAGATCAAAACATTAATCTGACTTGTGATCAACTGTTATTCTTTCCATGCTTTTTTCTCTTATTCCATTTAATGATTACAAACAGCCTTCTGTGATCTATATGTAAAAACTATTGGGGGGGCCGCAAAGTTTTTGTAACATGCCACTCAGCTCACTTGTGCACCTCTTCTCCCCATTAAGTTAGTGTATACATAGGGAATGTAAAATCTTTTTAATATCAGCATGAGAAAAATATACACCCACAAAGGTGAATCTCCTGTCCCCCAAAATTTTGTAATGCATTAGAACGCTATATGTAAATGACTTTTACTTAGTCTAGTTGATTTTATAAACATTATATTCCTACAGAGGACTTTCTCACAAATACAAAGCCCCTATCACTGCATTTATATGGGATCAGGATTGGGCATCTCACAGACAAGGCATCTGACTTCCCTGTGAAGCTAACTACCTGAGTCTATGCTTTAGCTAGAACAGGGGTGGGGGGCCTGCAGCCTTGAGGCCACATGTGGCCTTCTAGGTCCTTGGGTGCAGTCTTTTGACTGAGGCCAAGTTTTACAGAACACATTCTTTTATTAAGGGGATTTGTTCTGTGAAGTTTGGATTCAGTGAAAGGGCCACACTTGAGGACCTAGAGGCCGCAGGTCCCCCACCCCTGAGCTAGAAAGAATCTGGTCTCTTTACCCTGGGTCCAGTGATCTCTCTTCTTCCAGAATCTTCCTTGTCTTTTAGAAGATGTTATGTACATACCACTACCCCTAGAGAAATGACCTCTCCTCACTAGCAACGGCCCCAGCAAGAAGCGATTGAACCGCATACACACCTGGCAAAGTCAAGTAGAATAAATGCTAGTAAATCAGTGGCCTTTCCATTGGAATCTTTTAGCCTGAGTTGATATCACCTCAGGAGGATTCACTGGAAAACGCTGGACAAGAAGAAAATGACCGCTGCCTTGACTGCCCCAGCCATCTCCAAGGAGGCAAATATGTGTAAAGCCCTATAGAAATGCCATTTGTTGCTGTTCCGTGGATGCCTTTCCACATTATCTAGGATACTGAGTTCCCTTGGTAAATGGGGGGAGGGGAGGGTCACTTTGTAGCTGCTGCATTTCCCATTGATTGTAGTTCATATTGATCCCTTCTGGGGGCTTCAGATCACTGGGAGCTGCCTGTGTTAAAAGTTTAATACCTACCTGTGATTTTCAGTCCTTCTCTGGGCTCCCATACTTACCAGTGATGACTCCAGCTGTGAGGTAGAGCTGAATAATACTGGTGCAGAAGGAGGCAGCCACCATCCCCAGCGAGGCAAAGAGGCCACCCACCAGCATGACCGGCCGGCAGCCAAACCGGTTTACACACACACTGCACAGTGGACCTGAGAAGCAGGAACGAGGCTTATTTGGGTACTCCAGACTGCAGTCTGTCCCCTTTTCCATCCTCCCCTGAGCTCTGAAACGACCTACCACTGTAGTGAAGCGTGGCTCTTTAATTGCCACAAGCTGTTTTTATTTGCTGTCCTATTTCTGAGCCATGTGCAACAGGCATCAGGTCTAACAAGCTATAGTAATTAATAATGATGAAGTCTTTTGTACATGAAAAGGACACATCAGGAGGATGTGTACTTTTGAGTTCTTCTAGTAGGGGTAGTGGGGTTGCACTTCATCCACCCACACTTCTAGTAGGCACACAATTGTGCGATGATTTTGCTGGGGGCAACTACAGCTTCAGTGATTTTAGAATGGAGTCATCGCTTACAACTCACCCATGTGAGATGGAACCCAGCACCCTGACCCACTGAGCTTACAAACCATAGACGTTCTGTGGTTGATCTGCCCAGGCAAGGCCTCACTTGTGCAAGAACCTGCACTTTGATTCTTCTCAGAAATAGTTACCATCAGATAGTCTGAACTGTACTTTTTATGGTGCCCCCTTACAGTGAGTTTCCACAGGTGAAGGTTCTGTGACAAGTGTTTTACCCCAGACTGGTTTACCTCCAGTACCATGGCATTTGTTCAGCATATACCTCAGTGCCTACTAGGTAACCAAGGCTTAACCCTGGAGGGTTGTGCCCCTGCCATTATTGGTACCCTGCCAATGTACCCTCTCTCGACAGGATACAGAGTCTTTGGAATGAAGAGTTCAGGGAATGCAAACTAAGTTTAATATATTCCTGAGTAAAACATAACTATCATAAAGTAAATTTCATAGAGTCATTGAATTTTAGAACTGGAAGGTACCTTAGAAATAATTTCATCCAAATCTCTCATTTTACAGAGGAGAAAATTAATCCCCAGAGGGGAAAAGTGATTTGACCAAAATCCTGCAGGTCAGTCATGCAGCCCAGATTTGAACCCCTCCCATCTAGACTCCAAAACCAAGGCCCCTCCACTATGCCATTTATCTACCTCATGATACCCATGAACGCTCTGGCCAAACAGAAATTTTATATTATCTATCTAGGTATCTAGAATTTTTTTCATCATCATAAACCGCTGCTCCCCTTCATTAGTTCAGATGATCAAGAATTATCTGTATTTCAGTGATGGAAACCTTGTTACCTTGTCTTATGACAAGATCCTTTTGGTACGTGAATAACTGTTCACTTGCTATATGCTGAATTTCTCATCTTAGGATCATTCGTATTACAAGGTTCCAGTCAGTATACTTAGTACTTGGGAAGCTAAAAGGGGACGGTAGAGATAATCTACTACAAATCCTTTACAGAGAAATAAACTACTACCCAGGGAGAGTAAGATCACACAGGTAGCAAGTAGCAGAACTCTGGAATTCAAACTTAGGTCCTGTAGACACTATATGAAATGCCCTTTCCACTACAATGCTATAGTTGGCCCATTTTGCATGGAAGAAAATCAAGACATAAAATTCAGAACCAAGTTACAGAGACTGCACAGATAAAGATTTTGATTCTAGAAATCCTGAAATCTAGTCCGAAAAAAACAATGAGGTACAGGAGCTAAAATGTTCCTCAATGCTTTAATCATACAAATTAAGCTCTACAGATTAGATTAGAAAGAGTGGCCTTCAACCTGCTTCCTACATGAATTAATTGGACTCAACAAAGGTGTATGGTAATTAATTATAATGGAAATGGGACAGAGTCCAGGAATGGGTCCTCCCAACCCTAAGTCAAATATCCCTATATGCATTTTTCCAGACCCTGAACTATGCCTGCTTCTTCAACCCCCTACTTTTTCTCAGTGGTCATGGGATTTGGGAGTGACAAGAGATGTTTTGATTCACAAGTATACTGTGCCTCAGGGGCCCCACTTGCCCTCCCCTAGTTACACTGCTGTTTCTCAAGCACTCCTGCTTCTAAGGGCTGAGTATTTTCTTGGAGAATGCCATCTGTATTCAAGCTGGCCTCTTCTCACCTGTCCCATAGAGCATAGCGAGCAGGATAGATGAGATCCAAGCTGTGTCACTGTAGCCAATGTCAAACTCCCGGATGAGTTCCTTAAAGAAGACGCTGACTGCTTTGGGGAAGGCATAAGAGAAGCCTGTGATGATGAAACAGCCAAAGAGGACGGCCCAGCCCCATCCACCATCTGGGGCCTTGACGCCTGCTGGACCATCGTCAGCCACCACCACTCCCATGCTGTCAGTGATGGCTCTGAGCGGTCTGAGAAAGAGGAAATACAGAAGATTGCATTCTAGGTTGCCAAGGTGATAATCTCATCTAAGACGTCATCAGGTTTAGGGAGGGGACAGAGTTGTCACACATGCAAAAGACACCTGAGAAATAACAATCACGTACATCAGAATTACCCACCTGGTGCTGGGGAACTGGGAAGCTAGGCTTCCAAACAAACTAACTTCTGAGCTCTGCTGTGAGGTATTTTGAAGGACAAGACAAAGATAACAAATAACACAGGCCTTGTAGTCCCAAGGCCATTGGGATCATGTTCATGCAGTATCCCACCCTTATGAAGGGCTGGGATCAATACAGCCTTAATTTATGGTTGATCAAATAGAGGCCCATAACATCTAGTGATAGTTTTTTCATACAGTAAGAGTGAAGACACTGTAAAGTGAACATTTTGCTTATTTACTCACCATACTCTGCCAGCCCCCCTTATCCACCTTAAAAATTTGGGGGGGGAGTGCAGCTAGATGGCGCAGTAGATAGAGCACCGGCCCTGGATTCAGGAGGACCTGAGTTCAAATGCGACCTCAGATCCATAGTGTACTAAGCTGTAAGTGTATTAGCTGTGTGACCCTGGGCAAGTCACTTAACCCTGTAGCCTAGACAAAAAAAAAAAAATTGGGAGGCAGGGGTATGAGAGATGGAGATTCCAAAAGCTACACCTTTTGCACCTGCTTTTCTTCCTCCCACAGCTTAAAGAGTAGCAGTTTCTTTTTTTTTTAAGCTTCACCTACAGAAAACTGGATTACTACCTTCCTTAAGGAAAAGGGGCTTAATGAGAACCAGAGATTAGAAACTCTGATGTGTTTTATTTTTCACCCTTCCATTCACTCGTCACCTCCGTCTGTGCCCTCTGACCCCCCTCACTTTGCAAGCAGCTCCTTGCTCCAGAGCTGACAAAGTAAAAAGTTGATTTTTATGAATTGTCAGTTGAAAAGAAGCCCATCTTGCCTATTAGGTCAATTAAACACTGAAGTGGAATAAAAGGAAGTGTTTTTCCTCTGAAGCTCTTTAAAACAAAAACAAAAAAAATATTTGTCCTGGACAGCTTAGTCATTAAACTACCAGAATCAATTGATAATAGGTTATTTATTGACTACTTATTATGTACCCAGCCTGAAGTTTGAATGCTAGAGCAAATGATATGCCAGCTATGATTTTATAACCAAATGCAAGTCATCTCTGCATTAAACGTGCCCAAGAACAGAACACAAGTTATTAATAATAACTACACCTCAGCTAGGTCTCTTTACTAGGGACATCCCCTAAAGGTAAGCAAACCAGTTAGAATCAGTGCCCCAGAGGTCCTCTCATAGAATCATAGGGTGTTAGATCTAGAAGGCCCTTTCATATTATAAATGAGAAAATGGGCTCAGAGGAAAAAAATGACTTGTCCATGGTCACACAGAAAGTCAGATCCAAGCCTAAGAAATTGGTTCCCCTGACTCATTTGAATGCTCTTTCCATCATACCCACTGATCAGCAGAGGGCACTCTCATGCAATGCTTCCTTGCTCAAAAAGAGAAAATACAGACAGATGACATTAAAGGTTCCCAACTACACTCCATTACCACCGTTCAGACTGTGAACTCATCTGACCAGTTGGAAGTCCCTTGTTTGACAAAACTTCCTCAAGTTAAATGGTCATCATTCCACCTGGAATCAGGGGGCCTGCCATAAACGACATTAAGGATTCTTTATAAGCTAAAATAAACAAAGAATATCTTTTGTCTAATGTGATACTTTTAAATAAAGGACAGTCTGTTTTTGTTGTGATATCCTCAGCAGCCTTGCAGGCCCCAACATAGTAGTATTTAATAAATATTTATTGAATACCTAGAATATTAATAACAGAGGTGGATAACTACCACAAATATGGACAGTTAGGCTCAAATCTCCCAAGGCACTGTTTTCAGAAGGTGTTTTCTTCCCCCCAAAGAAATGCAAAAACTACAGTTTACCAGCTGCCTCTGGGCTGGTCACTTACTGACAAGTCATCAGTGTCCTAATTGAACAGAACAGCAGTCCCCTAACATCTTGCCCTGGAGAAAAGAGGCAGGTACAAAATAGACACCATTTAGGCACTCTGGGTTAAATGCCATAAAAGCCCCCTTTGGACAATTCAAATAACTATGCAGAAAACGTTCTATTCCTGGCACACTGCTACACCTGACCCCAATACCCTTTCTTTCACCTATGTTTACTGAGCCTGAGATGGCCTGAAGGGAGCAAAGTTTGAACAGTTGAAGATTTCTTGAAATTCAGACAGCATACTACATTTGGAGAGATTGTGCTTTCTGTAAATCAGAGGAGTCTCATAGTGGCTATCTGGGAAGATCCAGGTGAACTCATGCATGCAAAAGGAGAAAACCTCCCAGTCCATGGAATTCAACAGCACAGCAGCCACTCCCACTCTCCTCTCCTCTCCTCCTCTACCCTTACCTGAGGGTTTCTGCCCAAAGGAGGGTAAATTTTGATTGCCAAAAGCTACCTAGTTAACTTATGGTTCACTGGCTAGAATTCTTTCTCAAAAAACAAGCCTTAAACCCAATTCACTCTAGACTGGACAACAACAGGTCCCTGCCTAAGCACCACTTACTGGTTATTTTTTGGATGCTCCATGCTTAGAGTGAATGTAAATAGTAACAGTTTCTTTTTTGGCCAGCAACCCTGAGGGTCTTCCCCTCCCAATATAATTTTTTTTTATCATTAAAGGGGCCATCCCTTGTCTCACTTCTTAAAGAGACCTATTCACTGAATGGGTGTTGCCTTACTCAAAGTGAGAACCTGGAAAGACCTTAGCTTAAAAGAACTGAGATCTCCCACTACTTGCTGGGCCAGTCATCCTCATCCATATCTGGCCACTGAACCCAGATTGCTCTGAAGGAGAAAGTGAGGCTGGTAACTTTGCACAGCCCTCCCTCACTCAAATCAAAATCAATTGCAAATCATGTCATCGTTTCCCTGATGTCATGATCCTCTTCAAGAATGAAGGACAAACCACAAGCCACTTCCACCACAACCAGTAGGAACTGGATGGAAGAAGAATGTATGGCGCTTTTTTTTTTTTTTTTTTCAGATCTGTCCTGAAAATTCTTGGTGATGGGCCCTTACCTGGACATCAAACTAATTCAAGGCTCACTACTCAGCTAAACACTCTTCCATCTGAAGATACAGCCGTAGGTCCCTAGGATATGGCTTTTGTCTGCTAATCCTAAACTGCTTCCAGAGTAAATAGTAAACCAAGTCAAAAATTTAACATCCCAGGGGCAAAACTACATCTCAAGCAAACATAACATCCTACACCTCCTGCATTTGGGCACTGGCAGGTAACAAGCTGGGGATGGCCAGGAACATACAAAGTCCAAGCCTATCTTTCCCCTCTGCTGAAGCAGAGAAGGGGAACTGAAATACTAGGTTTGGAGATTCTGAACAGCAAAATAACTAGGGAATGACAAGATCCTGATAATACTAACCAGTAGGGGAGGTAAGGAGACAAAGGATTAGTAATCCAAGAGAAAAACCTCATAAATAATGTCTGCCTCAGGGGAAACTGATCGAGTACTCTTGGACAATTCTGAAATTATTTAGTAGAAGAACTGGATTTTCTAAAAACACCTGAGTCTCCACTCTAAGTTAGGTAAAAGAAGGTCAGGAAAGTTTAAAGCAGGTTAGAACTCAAAAGCCATTCTTCATTTATTCTGTCACCTGCAGGTGTCCCCTTGCTTCACAAGGTGAGAGGCTCAAAAGCAGAATGTGTGTTGCTCTTCCCCAACAGGCTAAAAAGCTTGTTGAGGTAACTCGCATTTGGGCCAGTGAGGCATGCTTCCTCATAAAACATTGTAATAGGAGCAGAGTGAAGCAGGGAGGAGAAAGGTCTAAACCTGGTGCAATATGTCCAGTCCACTGAGTGCTGGGCACATGTGTGTGCATACCCCAAGCTGAGTGGCCTTTTGGTGACATTTATAACCACGCTATCTATATGAGAGCCACATACCCAACCCAGAAATAACCCAAGCAAGATTGCCCTTGGGGCCTAGGGGAGACTGGTCTGTAAGGAGCCAGAATCAGGTCACTTTCCTTCTCAAGCGGCTGAGGTAGAGGAGATGAGTGGGCACCCAAGGCAGAAGAGTCACTATGTTCTTTGTTTCACAAGTTTCAGAACTGAAAGGGTCCTTAGAAACCAGCTGGTCCAAACACCCCTCCCTCCCCCAACCAAAATGTACTTTACATATGAGGAAACAGGCCGAGAGAGAGGCGCAGTGATGTGTCTGAGGTAAGTAAGTAGTGGAGCTAGAATTTAAATGTAGATCTGACCCTACAGCTAATGCCCTTTATACCACTCACCTGTCCTTTACAACTGAGAAACGTCCAGGAATCAACATGCCAAAACTCACCCCTTGCCCTCCCAAGGTCTTGAAGCATATAGGGCCACACCCTGGCAACCTGTCTCCTAAAACCAAAGGTAACAAGGTAAGGGCAAATGCTGCCAGATGCTCAAGGTAAGCTGAAGGGTTCAAAAACTGCTAGTGAAACACCCCTACTGCAAAAAGTATAGAAAGATGCATTTACTTTGCTGACTTCCAGTGCCCCAGACGTGTTCTCCCTCTGACGACAAAGGACACAGATCAACAGACTAACATACCCAGTATTCCAGTTTTCAAAGAAAAAAGGTCTTGCCTATTTTTTTTTTAATTTGGAGGTGCGCTTTCCCTTTTGTCATTTTCCTGTTTACAAAAGGTGAGCAGGAAGATACTGCAGTCTCATATACTTCCTGCTCTCTCCCATAATACAAAGCTTGCCTTCACATCTGAAGGCCTGGTGCCCACTCACCTCATCTGCAAAGCCAAAAGGATTACCTTCCATTTACATATTTTTTAAATAAACTGGCGTTCCATTCTTTATAGAAGCATGTCTGGTTGCTCAGGAAGAACTGTATTAACTACTACATTTCACTGGCTCTCTGTGACCAACAG